GGGGGGGGGGGGGGGGGGGGCTGCTTTGGCTCCAGGCTCCCCACGCTGCTCTGGGCAGGTAGGCGTAAGCCTTTCCATGGCAGGGTGGGCCAGGGCAGCACCAGCCCCGAGCTTACCACCCCCTCCCTAGTCTAACTTTACAGAGCCATAGGCTGGAGACCAATGCCAGTGCCCCCATCACCATCCCTGTGCACAACCGTATGAAGCGACTTCTGTTGCTACAGCTGCCGCAGGGCCTAGCAGGGCAAGGTATAGGTAAGTAGGTGCCAGTCAACTCCCTTTAGCCTGCAGCTCAGCCCTACAGCATGCCCTGCCCAGCCCCATAGGAGACCCACCCACCCAGTTTGTCCTGAGGTGTGGCCCTGGGTAGTTGCTGAATCCCTGCCACATTCTGGAGGGGCTAGAAGTGCCCTGATGGTGCCAAGCTAGGGAGGGGTGCCCCGCAGACCAGGCTGGTGCAGCCCTTTGCAGGCCAGGTTGGGCTCTGCCATAGTTATTAATCATTTAAACATTGTAATTACAACAAGTTAAATGGATATTTTTTTTAAAATCAGTATTTACATCCCTAATGGTAGTGTGCACATGCATGAAATTACACATTTAAGTGTATGTAGAATTGGGACCTGACTAATCATTTCACAACTAGCTCTGTTATTTCCATCCTGTGTCAACGTAAGAGTTACCTATTGTCATTTCAGTTCCACTTCAGAGTGGAAGAAACAACGCTCTCCCACTGGGAAGAATGCAGATCTGGTAGAGGAAGAAATTTTATTTACGGGCTAAGAAGGAAGCAAAAAAAGGATAAAAAAAAAAAGGAAAACCCATGAAAGCTATTTGATTCTCTATTTAAAATATTTAAACTCAAAGGATAAAATTCCATTTACAATATTAGCTTTTAGTCAGATAAAATTTCCGTCATCTCATTAGAAAGTCAATTACAGTAATTTGTATAGAAAAGCTCTTTCACAGGTCTATTTTATATTACATTCAAAAGGTCAACAGAATGTTCCAGCTGCACAACCTTACCATTTTTGCTAGAAAAATAGGTGGAAAAGGAGATTTTTGATGAAGAAAATTATATAGCACTTGCATCCATAGAAATCTGATTGTAATTTCTCAGCTAATCGTGATTTCTCAGTCGAAGAAATGTATTATTTATATTCAGAGCAAAAAAATTCTATCCAATGTCTGTGAGCTTTCAAGACCAAATGATATTCGTAACCGATTTATGAAATTATTAGTCCCTTGAAGTAAACATGCTTACAAAAAGGTAGACTTTCTAAATAATTACCCATTCAATCATATACATTTCAAATGTGCATGCATCCATTTACTGCGGACAGCTGAGCAGAGAAGTAGGAAGAATCATTCCTTTTTGTGTGTACGAAAATCTAATCTCCTTTCTTCAGCACATTGCTACACGCATGAGTGGCTCTCTACAGATGAATGCTTCCTACTAGGTTATCAAATTAGATTTAAGGAAAAAAGCTCAAAACCAGCCTTCTTTCATAACCAGCAAGGGAGAAAACATTCAACCTTCATTATTTTCTTTGCTATTTATTAAATATCTTTTTGCTGTATAGCAATTATAAGCTTAGTGAGGCAGAACAACCTTTTGTAGACAATCTTCAGGTCTCTCCACTCCAGGAAGCTGCACATTTTCGGTTTACGGGCTAACACGGTTTGAACAAGTTCCCTGGTGATTTTCTTCTTCTCTTTGTCAGATAACGGGACATACCACTTCTGAAGTCTCAGCTTCCCCTGACGACTAAAAAGCAACATAAACTGCATCTGTTGAATTAACAAATAAAACTAGGATTAAAATAAGTCGTTCAGCCCTGTCATCTGTGACTATTTTGGGATTTCTTCACTGACAAATGTTGAATCAGAAAATAGGCACGCAACTTCCCCAGTTAAATGATATTAAGTGATAAAGGCAGCCATCCAGAAGCTAGCTTCAAGATGCTCCTAAAACCCTAACTGGTATCTTAACACAGGCAGGATTTATGCTAGAAAAAATGAAGTTTCATCAATAGAAAGGTCAAGGACAGGTTCAGACAAACAAGTTTCAATTGTGAGTAAAGGTAATAGAAACAGTGTTCAGAAGTTCTGTGCAAGCACTGAAAACTTTTGTCTACGCTTGCAGCTAAGCCATGTTCAGTACTGGTGTTGCTGCCTCCATTGCTGAGCATCATCAACAACAGTTATGCTCTCATTAGGACACAGCATAAGTCAATAGCATTTCTCAGTGCAGTATTAGAATCCACTCGATGGTAAGAGTAGTCCCTTCTTATTTTAACCTCTGTCAGAAAAAAAGTACAAAGCCCTTCAGCAACATTAAGTCTTCCCACAGCCGCATCACATGGATAAGCATTTGCACCGTTTTTTTTTTTTTTAAACCATGAAGAGCTGGAAGTAAAGGTTGGGCCAACCACTTCTGTTCCAGGTTGCACCTTCTCTACCATAACTAACATCAACAGTGGGGAGAAAGAGCCTGCATTTGCAAGGACGCTACTCAGCACATTAAAGGGGACATTAGATATCTACAGACCTCGGAAACCAAGGCGCAGACAGCAAGTGAAGACTAACATGAAAACACTCTGTGCCTGCATGTGCATAGCCAAGAGGCAGGGCAGGGGCGATGGACAGGACACACCCAGGGTGACAAGTCAGGTTTTCTGCCAGCAAATGCTGGGAAGCAGAAAGAGGGGTGTGCAGACAGCACCCAGCCCTCCTTACTCACAAGCCTGTCAGGACCTGCTGAGTCTCTCTGTCGCTTGTAAAAGCAGTGGGACGCTTTCTGTCTTCTGAGCAACAATACACCTCCCCTACCCAGCAGGTCCCTTCATAAGGATTCTCTGCGCCAAGTGCCGCTGGGACTGGGACTCGGACTCGGGCTGGGACTGGGTCCCACCCCGCAGCCCCTCCCATGGGCAGGTCCAGCTCCCTGCCTGCCCCTCCCTCCCCAGCAGCAGCAGCAGCAGCAGCATCCCCCGACCCAACTCGCCTGACATCTGCAGGAAGGCTCAGGGATCAGCAGCTCCAGAGCCTGCACCCTCCCTCCCCCCTCCCCGGGGCAGCAGCAGCAGTTACAACCCGCCCGCACCCCGGAGGAGGGAGGGGGAGCAACGAGAGAGCAGACGGCTACTCCCGCGCCACGTACATGCACATGCACATGCACATGCACATGCACACACGCACACATGTACCTACGCACATGCACACTCCTTCTTCCATGCCCACACGCACGGACTGGCCGGGCTCCCCACCCCCAGGCCCGGGCGGCGGCACTTACGGTGCCCTGCGTGAGGGGCGACGGCAGCGAAGCCCGGGCGCGCGGCGGCAGCGGCTCCGGCTCGAGCTAGAGGAGCGCGGCGGGGCGGGGCCAACCGCCTCCCCCCGGCTGTGTGGGGCGGGGCGGGACCCGGCGGGGGG